GTGACGCTGAACTGTGTCAAACTTCCAACTTGTTGCTAGTTAGGCAGTTCGGTGATTCTTGGGAAGTGAGGTTATATGAGTTAGCGTCAAAAATATATGCTTGGAGTGTTTTCGTTTCACTTTTGTCAGTCCCCTATCGTTTTCCATGGTTTTGGATTTTGCAAGTATGTATACATAGGGGTATCGTTTTTTGTCAGTCCCCTATCGTTGTTCAAGGAAAATCACGAAAGCAACACAGAGATGAAACGTCCCTTACTAAAGTGGTTGATGATAATTTTGAGGTTGCCTCATATATATATATATATATGATGATATATATATATATTTTTATACGGTTATTATAAAAATAATATATATATATATACTCTTTAAGCATCCGGTGTGGTGAAAAGCAAACAGAAGGCAAAACACCATACACTATCAAGAAATGCAATACAATTCATCTTTCTTTGGACCAAGCTAAGCTACTCACTCCTCAATGTCCTCCCTTTTGCTGCGCGTGCATGGGCTTGGTCAAGAACTCCTCGTAGTAGTACTCATGGCAGTCAAGTTTGCCCTTCCTTCGCAGAACATCGTTGGATGACTTGCTCACCCAGTGACAAGAAAGCAAGCAAGCACTTACATAGTCTTTGGATGTTTAAGTTTAGGTGTTGGACTATGACCTTGCATACACATACCCAAACATTTGCCGCACATGGTCTCCTCCAGGGAGGGTAGCCGATGGATTTCGGGTTCGCCCATGCACGCAAACAGTCGTAGAAGTCCACCAAGCAAGGCATGATCTTCCTCGAATGTGATTATCTTGCCCAATGAGCCGACAAAATACCTGCAGATTCACCATGCATCAGTGCGTGCAATGTTGGCAATGAATCTCGACATATCTCGACTACCAGGTCTCCTTGTCAAGGCTTTTGTGCTATACATCCTTCCTAGGAGGCGCGCAAGGACAGTGTTGGTTTCCACACACCCATCGAGCTTAGTGCAACGCGCTTGTTTTTTGTCTCGCTGCTAAAACAAGGTCTCAAGTCTCAAGGGCTCTTGGCTCGGCAGTGGTTCTGCACATTGAAGAATTTAGGGATCAAAATCTCGCTGATGTGCGCAGCCGCGGCAGGTGAGTTTCCTCAACAAGAGTGAAACAAGTAGTTGCAGGGTGACGCTGAACTGTGTCAAACTTCTAACTTGTTGCTAGTTAGGCAGTTCGGTGATTCTTCGGAAGTGAGGATATTATATATATACTCTTTAAGCATCCGGTGTGGTGAAAAGCAAACAGAAGGCAAAACACCATACACTATCAAGAAATGCAATACAATTCATCTTTCTTTGGACCAAGCTAAGCTACTCACTCCTCAATGTCCTCCCTTTTGCTGCGCGTGCATGGGCTTGGTCAAGAACTCCTCGTAGTAGTACTCATGGCAGTCGAGTTTGCCCTTCCTTCGCAGAACATCGTTGGATGACTTGCTCACCCA